TCGAAGTGAATCAAATCAATGACGAGCTACATAATTCACGTGCAAACCACACTTATAATGAGGGACCGAAAACGGTAATAGTCCAATTAGTGTACCGAATTACGGTCTTGAGAGACTGAAAACGACTCAAAAGTGGATAGGTGTAGATTGAAAAAAAAAATCATATATGTCCATTTTATTCGACTGAGCCACCGCAAATCGTATCCGGTTTTGGCTAGTTTTTATTTTAAAATTATTTTTAATTTTTTTTTGCGCTCCGATGTACCCTTCATAAATTCTGTGGTAAGAAGTTTCAGCAAGAGTTTTAGATTTTAAAATTCATAAATTTAGAAGCTTCAATAAAGGATAATTGTTTACTTTACTTAATTTATTTCCAAAACTATTAACTTCATTACAAGTAGCAAACTACTAACAATGTCACAAAGTTATACTGTAAAAATTTTCGGAATGGGTTAAATGATAATTCGTCCATTTCACCAACAATTATCCTTTCATTCCTCTAAATTGTGCAGTTACAAGAACAAGAGGCTCTATCAGCGAACAAGAGATTATTTATTTTATTATTCAGGTAAACGGTTAATTTACCATAACCGCGTCTAAGCGAATTTCAATAATAAATACCACCTATAATCGCCACGTTTATACAGTTTGAGTATTAATATAGTTGTATGCCTTTAGGTACTCTTAGGGTGATCCAAAACAACTTATTCATAGCTTTAAATGACCTATTCATTGAGAAGAAAATTCTTCCATTTGGAATGATTTATATTCCAATTTTTAAATGTGTCGGTGGGCATTTGAAATTGTTATAACTATTGGAACGTTTGATATGCAATTTTTTTCTTAGCATGTTCTTGTAGGGCCTTAAAGTCTCAAAAAAATTACTTTAAATTTGATGGTCTAGACTCAAAAATGTATACACTTACGGGCTATGAAGGTCGAAAAAAGGAGAAATATGCAGCTTCTAGGGCTTTATGAATGAAAATATGGAATTATAGAAAATTTGTTTATTTTTTATTGCAGTTTAAACATAAATGTTCTTTTAAATTATTAATAAAATTCAGTTTATTGCAATTAGGATATTGCTGGCGATGTAATTGCACTACCTGCAAAAGAAATCGATTTTGTTCTTCGTCTGTCGTCAAAGTTCGATTAAAATTTTTTTATCAAGTACTCTCTAAGACAATCAACTTTAGGGTCATGTTTTAGAGAATTTAATGCCCTCCAAGAAAATGCCTAGAAAAGTTTTTTCAATAGTGATCATATTTTTAATGAAAACAAAATTCTGTTACAAGTTATTTACATGGGAAATTTCAAATGCCCACCGACACCTTTTAAAATTGGAATACAACTTTTTCCAAATGGGAGAATTTTCTTTTCAGTAAAAAGGTCCTTTTAGGGCCATAAATTCGTTAGGTTAGTTATTTTGGATCACCCTAATATGCATACATATGTAAATTCGCAGGCATATGCACGAATGCGATATGCGTAAGCGCAAACAAAACAACTGTAATTGGATTAAAGTGTATTCAGGTATACATATATACATGCATATGTACATATCCTTGCTATTGTATGGAGATAACCTATTCATTTTGTACTACATATAGTGCTTATCATAACTTTACGACACCCACGTATTGACAACTTGTGATTAATTTAATTAATTACTTAATTGTAATATTTTTTTGTTTATAAAAATTTAGTTCATTCTATAACCAAAATAACTTAAATTCAAATTTCCAACTTTGTACAAATTAAAAAAAAAAAATCAACAATGATGGATCAAGCTCACACTTTTTATTCAGAATTTTTAGAAAATTTTCAAAAATCAAGGGTATTTTGTAGCCACTTAAAACTTGCAATATATAATACTAGAATTGAATGGGCTATATCTTAAAATCTTAAAATTATGTACAAAGCTTTAAATTTGAATTCAAATAGTTGTAAAAAAATGGTTGAAACAAATTATTAAAACAAATTAAATAGTCAAAACTGTCAATATGTGGGTGTCATATAGTTACGACAAGCACTATATGCATGTACAAGATGTCTGGGCACATCACATACCTAAATAAATCGAGCTTAGCTAAGCTCACACCATACCAATAATGACTCGTAGACGATTAAATGAGATCAATCAAATAATTCGATAGAAAACTATGTAAACAAGCACGGTTATCAACGCGAGTGCTAATTAAGTAAATACAAGCCTGGTTAGTCATTGCTGCAATGCAGCAAATGTGGTGATGTGTAATGGAAAAGTTAAGTTGTTGGCGTTCGACTGATGAAGTATATAGTATATATTCATGCTAATTTCTAAATTGAATTGACGAAAGATAACACTATTACCATTAATGTTGATTAATGAGGTCAATGTACTCGGTTTGTGGCAAAATAAAAATTCGGCGCCTTATACTTTTCAGAGCTGAGTGCTTATTATGAATTTAATTATTATAAATGAGTCTCAATTAACTAAATTGATGTAGTTAATTTGTGTAAAAGAAATGTTTGCCATTTGTATATATGTATCACGGATGGGCGTAATCAGGAAAAAGAATAATTGAATAAAAAAAATAAGAATAAGTTTTCATTCATCATTTCAACAATTGTGAAAGACGAATAATTTTTTATTCTTCATTCAAGCACTTTTATAAATAAAAATTTATTCGTCAATTAGAAAAATTATGAATAAAATTTTATTTTAATTCATTCAAAAACGCCCAATCCTGGTATGTATGAATACAAATACATAATGCACATTAATACATACATACAACACATGAACATGCAAACTCAGAAGGCTTTACATGGCGTATACGTTACTTTATGGTGAACGAACTTTCTGATCTACATACATACATGCATACATACATACATACATACATAAATAGGAGTGCACTACTTGTAAGCACTGGCGGCTATAGCAAAGGCCATGAACAGAGTTTCGAGTGTTAAATGCACCTTTTCACACCCAAAAGGGTCATTACAAGGACAAGAAGAATTTAATTAAAGCACTTCGTGGTGTGAATTTATTATTCAATTATTATTATTCAATTAGGAAAAACATAAAGTTTACACATTTCCTTAATAGCACTTACGTGCGCACCAGTGAGAGTTAAAAGTTCAATCAAAAACTTTTTAAAGTGAAAGTCATTCTCTGATTCAGCACTCTGAATATCGATGGAAAATATTGGTATTGAAAGTTTTGATTTGATTTTATGCTCAATTATAGCATTCAAAAGGGACAAAACCAAACTTCAACTTACAAACAAAGACTGGAAACAAAGAGTTTATATAGAAAAAAAAATTAAAGTTGCTGCAAGTTTCTTTTTTGATAAATTTGTTTGCTTCCAGAAACATCGACCCTTCATTTCCAAGCCCTAGTAATCAACGTTTGTGCTACTGAATTAGGCGAACGTACCAAGAGCTGATTTTCAATCGCTTTTTCTGTATGAAAAAAGGTTTTACATGCAAATATATTTTGACAATTTGGAATTTTTGTGAAAGAAATTTAAAAGATTTGATATTTTTTCACCAGGCTTACGGAAGGTTAATCTTTATTAGAGCTGTTAAGTACTGATTATAAATTTTAATGATTACCGATTTCACTAATTATTTTCTTAAAATCTGCTAAATGATTAATTACCATTATTTCCACTTTTAAATTAATAACTACTAATTACCATTAAAAATAATAAAAAACTAATCGTATTTTTGGCCAATTGGAAGAAAAAAATCAAAAATAATCAAAAACAATCAAAAAAGCTAATGGGATTAATTTTGCAATAAAACTACTTTTTTTGATTATTTTTAATTATGTAGATTATATTCTGTGAACATAAATATTCTTTGAAATTTTAGTACAACTTAAACAAACTGCAAGAAACCATAATAATATTGTAACAACAAACATAATACATATATAGATATTATCTACATAATATCTTACATAATAACGTCTACTTATACAAACAAAAATTAAACAAACATATTCAATGGAATTATAAATTGGGATTCGTTTTTATGTATGTATGTATTCCGCTACGTTAAGCATGTCATACCATCAGAAAACAAAGAAGCATGTTTCTTTACAATGAAATCGAACAAATAAATTAATATAATAAAAAAATCAAAAATAATCAAAAGTTATCACCAAATTTAATCAACTACTTTTTTGATATCATCGATTATTTTTTTAATGGCAAATAATCATGATTGTTTTTTGATTAATTCTAATTATAATTGATTAACAATTCCTCGGTTAAAAACACTTATTTAATTAATTACGATTACCGAACCTATGTAATCGTTTTGATTAGTAATCGTAATCCAAAGTTAACAGGTCTGATCTAGATACTCATATTTAAATTCGAGGCGTGAAGACAAGTAAAATTTAGAAGAGTCAGGCTCACAAAGATGAAGTGAAACGATAACAATTTTTCATATGTGCATAGCTTATGAGTAGCATTCTTTTCTGCTTGTACATAAAAAAAAATGATTGCCCATTTTCATTTGCCCACTCACAACTTCTTTATTTATCCGTCGATTTTCTTCGCTAGCAGCTTGGATTTCCTTCACAAAAGAACAAACGTTAAAAGAAATAAAAAATTAAAAAAAAAGAAAGCTGTTGGGTTTTAAATTAACTGTTAGTTTTAAACTAATAAATGTCTCAGAAGCTACTGGACTTATCGACAAATGATGATTTTGTATTTCGAAATGAGCGAGTAGCTCAACATTGGTAATGGGATATTGGCATCAGGTGCCCAAGAAAAAATAAAAATTTTTAATTCAGTGATATTATCCCTTAATTCTTCTGAGGTAAGTTTCGATGGATTTTCCACACTTTGCGTATCTTCTGACTCCTAAGCTGTTGGATTATTTTGATGGGTAAATCGAGCTAAATAACAGTAGTGTGCCTGTTTCCAAAACTCGGAGTGGTTAACAGTCGGTGGAAAGAAAACAAAAAGAAATGTTATTCGTGTCGTTAGTAATAATACTTGCACTGTGCTGACTGTTGTTGCGCGCCTTAACTGGCTTCACAACTCTTCGTACCTCTGTTAACTCTAACGACATTATTGATTATCTTGTGAAACACTCGGGCTTTAACTCGGATCAATTGGAGTTTTTTTTACCTGTCTTTGTTGATGCCATAGCCTACGTACATAGCCACCTTTTCCTTGGCGAAATAAAATTTATTTCCGGGTTAATTTTTTAGCTATCAGGATTTAGAAAATCCGCCCTATGCCAATTTAGCAGCCCACAGCGCCAATAAGTATTTGGGAAAATATATTGGATTTTTAATTAGGAATTATAGGATAAACCGTTTTTTAACTGAATATGGTTTGACTAGAATTAAGAAAAAAATTGACGAAAAGCTAATTTTCAGTGAAAAAAAATTTCTCTCAGAATGTATGTTAGTATGTGGTTGAATGAATTTCTGGCGGCCAGCTAATGCATTCAATTTTATTTTTGTACCACAAATACTTAATTATTGCTGTACAGCAGCCATAAAACTGAATAATTGTTTTGCCTATATTACGTATTAACGAAAATAAGCCACAAATTTGCGGCTGTTTAATTGCCGCACAATTTCTCATTAGCGTGGCAGATAGCGGTTATGTAAAACATGGCCAGCGACAGCAATAGCGGTCTTTTTCAACGCTATCTACATACATATTTGGTTGGCAAAGCGGCCATAGTAAATATCACAAAAAAATTATTGCTTTTTTTGGGCGCATACACAATATCTCACTTGAACAGATACAACTTAGCTAGGTATCGGTAAAGCTTCGTTTTAGTTAGACTAAATATAAGAAAATAATAATTGCTGTTGACGAATAGGGGAGAGATAGCAACTTGTATAGTGTGACATTTTTCGAACTCCATGAACTCCATCACTTAGGGAAGAGGCGAAATAATTGGGGGACTATTCTCGACCCTGAACCCTCCTGGCAATTGAATACTAGAGAGCGGGAAAGAAAAGCGTTCAACGCGCTCTACTTTTGCAATAGTATAACTAGACTTGAGGCTACAACGGCACGTTTAGCAAGTTAATATGTTTGAAGGCAGTCAACTTGCAACGGGTGTAACGATAAGAGAGTCTTTATGCAACGGTAGAAATTCATTATTTCATCGGTAAACCTCTACGGGAAAATCGCCTCAGAGCACTCTGAAATTTACATAAGTCTCTAACAGGGTAATATTACTATTAAAAAAGCTTATTATTAAAAAAGCTTAGAAAAAAAACAATGGGGCTAAGTCACATTTTTGGTACTGACGGGCCCAACTATCCCCATTTACGTACCGTTTGCCACACACTCTTCATAATTATAATTACTGTTATTATCTCATAATTTTATTCTTAATATATTTTTGATATGCTCCCGTTATTAAGATAAAAAATTTATTTAGCTAAACAAAAATATTTTGTTACCCAACTGCAAGAAAATCATCAAAAATGGCAATTTTTATGATTTTCTTATTTATAGAGAAAATGACAGCTGTTATACAAGATCGGTGAGCCTTAAAACTCAGTAGATTTCATTTTTGAGAAAATTTCCTTATTCCTAAATAATCTGATAGCTTATTTGACAGCTGTCAAAATTTTTAATTTAAATTTTTAGTTTTAATTTGATATAAAATTCATGACTATCGTATCTAAAAACTTAATCAGTAGCATTTTAAAAAAGATTTTTTAGTAAAAAAAAATTGGCAGTCAATTTGACACACTGGCAATTGCCAAAGTTAAATTTTGATATATAATTCGTGATCAGCGTGCCTAAGAACCTAACCAGTGGAAGTTTTCAAAGGTTTTTCCTATTTTTAGATAAATTTACAGTTCAATTTACGTCAAAAGTTATTCCACTCATATGGATATTGTGTAAGTTGTCAGTGAGATTTTCCGTTATTAGAATGTTGGCCCATTAAACTATTTTTATGAAGACATTAAAAAAAAAATATTTTTGTAGACATTTTTGTAAGCAAGATTTTGCATTGGAAATATATATTTAAGAAAAAATAACTTTAACGATAGAAACAAATAATTTAGGAAAAATACAGTTTTTTAGGAAAGAAATATGTTAACTCAAATTAAAAAACAAAACCTAGGAACAAAAAGTTTGTTGGGAAAAAAATATCTTTGCGCTAAAATTATGTCGGGAAAAATTTTTTTCGCTAATATGATTACAAAAAAATAAAAGAATTATAGAGGGTGAAAATGTAAGATAAATAAGTATTTTTTAGAAAAAAAACAACTTTGGAGCAAAAACAGTTTTTTATAATTATAAAAGCTTATGTATGAAAAAATTATTTGTGGCCAAAAATTATTCTTTTCAGGAAAAACAATATCTTATTTGAAAAATTTTTTTGGGAAAAAATCTAAAAAAAAAATTAAAAAGTGTAGAAAATAGCTTTAGAAAAATGTTTTTTATAGGAAAAAATGGTGAGATTAACGAAAATTTTTTTTAATAAATTTTTAGTTACAATTTATGAAAATTTTTTGGAAAAAATTTAATATTTTTTTTTAATGCGACAAGTTCCTATTTAGCCCTCGATCAACAATATTTTACAATTGAAATCATGAGTTCTTTGATTACAAGCTTATAGTCCTTAGAGGCTTAGGAATAGGTAGAATCAGCACTTTGAAAATAACTGCTTCCATTTAAGGGAAGCGGGGTTTTGCTGCAAAACTCAAACACTTGCTCTTTACTCTAGCCCTCTTTCCAATGTCACAGATACATAGATATTTAATGAAATCAAAAATATTTTCCACCCCAACCCCACAATAAATAATAACTCAGTACATTGATTTTACAAGTTATCGTGGTGGCGATGTATGTACATATGTGCCTACTTGTGTGCATACATATGTATGTATAAAACATTAAAATATTGTGAAATTTGTTTTTAGTTCTCATTCTTTCCTGCATAAATATTTAGTTATTAATGGTGAAAGCTAAAGTTTATTGCATGTGTCGCCTGTTGGTTCTGTGGTTTCCATTCATTTGCTCATAATAAATGCAAAACACACACAAGCGTGCATACACAAATATTTTTTACACACACACTCAAAAACCGCCGACGCGTGGTGACGTGTGTACTTATGTATGTTGGCGCGCTAGTTGCCATTGGATGCCGGAAATGGCGCCTTTTGGTCGTGTTGGCCGCCAACAAGGCTGGTAAACTTTTTGAGTTATTGGTGGGCACAACTGAAAGTCCCCTATTAAATCGTGGTTATAAGTAAAGCGCGAAAAATTATGGTATGGTCTACATATAGCATATATGTATGTATATAGCCTGATTTCCACGCTTCGTACTGCTGTAGCTGTTGTTGCTATTTAGAAGCAATTACTTTGCATTTGCACAGCCATTGGGATAAGTTCGAACCAATTTACGAGCTCAAATATCCCTGACTTGATAATGTGCGCGCCTACACATGTGTGGACAATATTTGACGCATTAAGGGTATAACGGCATTTTTGTCATGCTATAAACTAACACAACACAATGGGCAATGTGTATCCGGTGCTTTGTTTGTAGTTGATTTGTGCAACTGGCGCCCACTCGATTTAAGCGGTTATTTATTCTAACTACGGCATGCACGCATGGGATCCACATACTGTGACCATGTAGCTGTGAAAGTAAGTGCACAGTAAGATATGTATGTAGTACATACATTCATATGTATGTATGTATTTACGTGCATATGCATTTTTGACTTTTTGCTTGTTTCATAGAATTTAGGTTATCTTCACTGAGCTCACCATTTTGTTCATAAATTTCTCCCTACGCACGAATGAGATACATATATTGTAAATGATAAAGGACCCTAAGGCGATCTTTAAGTTTATGTTGCAAGAAACCGCAATAAATAGCAAAACAAGATTTATCAGTGTGGGTTTAGAACTAGATGCATGGCTTTTGTTTGCTTATTGTTTGACCTATTTATAAAATCTTGATTTGTGAGATGCATACGGGTGCAGAAAATTATATATTTGCAATATCTTTCTAATGAAGCTGTTTAAAAAATTAAATTAAATTTGAATTAGGTAATAGAAATATGTAAAAACTTAAAATCAAAAGGGTAAGCAATAGTTGTGTACGTGTATTAACCCACTTTATGCAATGAATATTGCCAATAACTGTAGTGTTCACTTTTTAATCGGAATATTTAAATTTTCATTTTAATATTTTTTTGTGTATGTTACCGCATAACTTTGGACCACGTTAACCGATTTCGATAATTCTTTTTTCATCGGAAAGGTGGTACCTCAAGGGTGGTCTCATACTAATTTTTAGAACCGAAAATTGGATCGTTAAGAAATTAACGATAATCTTAAATTTTTATATGAGAATTGAAGTCGGTTTTGTTTTTTTTCTTAAACAAAATTATTTGTTTGTTTATAGAGTCTAGCCAATCGATAGTGTCGCATTTTCAATCGACACTAGATACGTTCTTCAGATTAAACTCGTTTGAGATTGGAAACGTTTAAAGCGATTCTGCATAAAATGTAATCTAAAATCCTGCCCTGTCATAGTACCTGGCGTTCCTTTATTTTACAAGCTTTTATTTAACATCATTTGTATGTATGTATGTATGTCCTGGAACTTTGCAATCAATATTTAAAAAACTTCCCGATGAGCTACAGACTTGAAACTTCAAACTTAGCTCAGAACTCGAGGACAATGCAATATAAGAGATGACTTAATCCGCTAGGTGGCGCAGAAGTCGAGATATTTGTAAAACCGGCATTTATGGTCTGATTTGGTTCATACTTAGAACATATATTAATTATATGAAAAGAAATAAATCAGAAAAAAAGTGTGCCGCTAGGTGGCGCAGGAGTTGAGATATTTGGAAAAACCGTATTTATGATCCGATTAAGTTCACATTTAGAATGAATATTGCTTACATGAAAAGAAATTACTACACAAAAAATGTTGGCAGTTATGTGTCGCGTGAGTCTATATAATTAAAAAATCGGCGTCTGTGCTCCGATTTGGTTTATATTCAGAATATGTGTATTACCTATTTAAATTGAAATATATTGAAAATTTTGTTTGTTAAGGTCAAA